CCCCCCCAGCCCCAAGGACACCAGCTGTGCCAAACATTCTTTATTCAGTTTATAAAAAGGCGGCTAAGAAACTGTAACCACAGTGACGGGCGTCTCCCAGCAACCCCCACGCGGGGCGGCAGGGGAGGATGGGCACTTAGGGTTAAAGCTGACTCGTGCCCGGAGCAGACAGACACAGGACAGACAGGCTGGCACAGCCGAGCCTGCTGCGGAAAGGGGCGAGGGCAGCGTCTTTGGCAGGGCCACGGGGAGAATTGTCCCCTGCGCCCGCCCTGCTTGGTCCCAGGGGCAGCCGGCCTACCCCCGTCCAGCCGCTCGGCTTTGGTCAATGCTGCAAGCCCAGGGCCAGAGCCAGCAGCAGCTCGTTGAAAATACAGAGATACAAGGGAGCCGGCAATCAGCCGAAATCCAGGCCCTGGCTCCCGGGATCGGGGAGGGGACCCCTGGGGCACTCCGGACCCTGGTTCTGTAAGAGTTACACAGAATAATTAAGGGAGAGGAAAAGATCCAGTGCCAGGCCCTGCACCCGCGGGCCCCGGCAGCACCAGGCTGGCGTGCAGCTTCCCCCAGGGCTGGGCAGAGACAGGCCCCTGCCCCGCCCCAGAGAGGGCCCCCACCTGCTCGGAGGAGCGGGTTGGCCTGGCCGGGCGAGAAAAGCCGAGAGAAGGATAAAGTGCAAACAGAGCCCTGGGGCAGAGGGGCCCCGGGCCAGCAGGGGTGCTAGTCCTCGGAGCCCTCGCTCTCTTCCGCCAGGTCTTCAAGGAGGAGCTCGTCCAGGTCGCACTGGGCCAGGCTGCCCTGGCTCAGGCAGGTGGCCACGGTGGAGCCGGTGCTCTGGTGCTCCAGGCTGGCGAACAGCACCTTGGGGAGCCTGTTCTTGGCGCGGCTGCGGGGGTGGACGCAGTGGGTGCCGGGCACATGGGGCTCTGCCGGGGGGAAGGGAGGAGTGTCACATGGGGCAGCAGCTGGGGCTCGTGAGGCGCTGCTCCCAAGTTACCAAGGGGAAACTGAGGCAGAGAGTGAGGCAGGGACTCGAGTTGGTGGCAAAGCCAGGGATAGAACCCAGGTGTCCGAGCTCCCAGCTCCCCCCTGCTCTGACCTGCTAGACCCCACTGCCCTCCCCAAGCTGGGGATAGAACCCAGGAGTCCTGGCTCCCAGCCCCCCCCACAGCCCCTCACCTCGGCGGTTGTAGCAGTCCTCAGCGTAGCAGGAGTGGGGGTTGCGGCTCCGGGCCCCGGCAACCTGGTGCGGTGAGAGGATGCAGTCGGGCAGCACGCGGGTGCTGCAGATGAAGCAGGGAGAGGCCATGCCCATCTGCGCTGAGCCCCTGGCAGGAAGACAGCGGGGGGGGGGCTGTGAGTCACGCTCCCCCCAGAGCCGCTGGCTGGAGCCTGCCAGTGCTCCCCCTCCCGCCCCATGGCAGGGGCAGGCCATGTGGAGACCCCCCCTCACCTGAAGCTGCGGTTGCAGGAGGGGCAGTGGAACTCGGCCGTGCCCCACATCTTGTCGTAGGGCACCGGGTCGTAGCGCTTCCCACACAGCCGGCAGCGGGACACCTGTGGGGGGCCCCAGAGAGTGAGTGTCCTGGGCCACAGCCTGCCCCGCCCCGCCCCCCACCGCCAGCCCCGGCAGACACACCTGCTTTCTCTCGGGCACACGGCGCCACCAGGCGCTGTCGCAGGCCTGGCAGGCGAACTGGCGCTCGGCCGAGGGGATGAGGTTGCGTCTGGCGTGGTCGAACATGCGCAGGTTCCGCTCCGTCAGGGGCAGCACCTTCAGCTGCTGGGCTATGGCCTGGGGGGCAGAGGGCGGGGGGCAGCATGGGGACCTGGGGCTCAGGTCACCTGCGTTCTCCTCCCTCCTCTGCTGCTGAGGTGCTGGGCAAACACGTCCCTCCTCGGTGCCTCCTTCCCCTTCCACCCGCCCCTGTTCAGATGACGACATGCCCAGGGGTGGGCTCGCTCTGGGTCTGGGCAGAGCCTGGCGTGACGGGGCCCCAATCTCAGCCGGGATCAGGGCAGCGCCCGGCGCAATGGGGCCCTGATCTCGGCCGGGGTCTGGGCAGCGCCCGGCCCGACAGGGCCCTGATCTCGGCCGGGGTCTCTATTCGCCACGGTAGTAGCAGCGAAGGGAAAGATCTGCCAGGAGCAGGGAGGCAAAGTCTTGGTCCCTGTGGGTCCCATGGGTCCAGCCCCCCTCACCTCGATGTCCTTGTCGCTCTCACAGTCGAGGCTGGGTTTCTGCGCGGGGGGAAGAGATAAGAAATAAAGTTAAAATGCAAATAACCAGATGTGTGTGAACAGCCACCCCAGCGCCAAGACAGGGGCGCCTCCCCCTCCCCCTGCAGGGCGTCTCCCCTCCAGCAAGGGACACAGACACATATAGACACGCACACGCATGCACACGTGTGCTCATGTGTATACACAGACACGCATGCACACGTGTGCACACACAGAGGGATCAGCACAGACACACACACAGACACACACCTGTTTCTGTTGCTCCTCTTCTTGCTTCAGTTTCTCCACCACTTTCTAGACAGGAAGCGAGAGGAGCCTGGCATGAGGGGATGGCTCAGGGAGACCCCGGGCTTGACCCACCCCAGCCCCAGCCCAGCGCCCCAGGCCACACAGACGCCCCCCACTCTCCCCGCGGCCAGCAGCGGGCCCGGTGCAGCCTGGCTGGCCGCCCAGTGAGGCAGGGCCCGAGCTGCGTCG